TTTTTGAAAACCCCCCCCCCCCCCCCCCAATCCATCATTGTTACAAATCATACTTGAAGTCATGATGAATGAGAGATTAGTTTGTTAACATTGTGGTCAACTGTGGTAGCAAATGTCCCAATGAAGCCAATGAAATAATCTTTCCTGTTTGTCTGTCTAGTGCATCAATAGCTGGTGTGCGTTAGGTTAGGAGCCAAAGTGCTAAATGCAGCTGTTACCAGTTGCATTTGTCAGCATAGTTTTGTATGCTTAAATCTGAGTGAATAATTGTTCACTTATTTTAGTTGTCCCAAATGTGTAAGATGTATGTTCTAAAAGCATGATGGCATCATCTCTGCACCAGAGCGCTTTCTTGGTAAAGGTTGTTCTGACACAATAAATGAGTGGAGAAATAAGAATTCAAGCAGCTAACGAAAAGACAGGCCATGAAAGGCATTTGTCACCCTGCTTTCATTTGATTTCAGAAGTTAGGTGGCTAAATACCTTCATGGTTTTGGGCCGTAATTGCTAGTTTAGACATAATCCTCAATAAAACACAAATTCTCCTGAAATTCTGTTCCACTGCATTCTACTATGTTTTCACTGCTTGCAGATTTCCCTTCACTACTGAACTTTTTAAACCTCTCTCACCACCTAAAAGCTGCTTTTTTCTTGTTTCCTCTGGCAAGTCCTACTAATATTCTTCTGCCTCTGGCAATTAGCCTTTTCCCACCATGTCACTGCTTGAAAATTCAGACTGAACTTCTAGCTCTGTTGTAACCTGTGGCAAAGTTCCCATTCACTTCAAGGAGACCAGAATTTTAGTTTAATCTGGTAAACATTGCTATGGTACATTTTGTACTAGTTTATAACAGGCTAATAATGTCTATTAAAGCAATATATGATTCAGTAGATTGCTTATGACTATCCATAGTGGGTGTGTAACATCAGTCCCTGGGGTCACAGATGGACAGGGTTAGTAGCTTGCTTTAATTTAATTCTTCTGTATACTACTTTATTACACTTAAAAAAGTTTTTAAAAACAACATGGCCCATGCTGTATCCTCGCAGTGTCGCAGCTCCTTAGTCTGACCATGTAAGTGCATGTGCTCTTCAGTTTTCTGCTTGCAAAGGGCTGAGGGCTTGCATCCAATAATAGTGAATGCCAAGAGGCAGCCTTGCATTGGAAAGCATACCTTGCAAGTGGCTTTCAATTCCGTTTGAATTTTGCACCCATGTTTTATAACTTGTACAACTAACAGTTCTTGATCCTTTTTTTTTTTCTAGATGCCTAAATACATGTGTAACTTTAGGCACTTCAAGGAGACAGTTTGCATGCTTAAATTTAGGCTTATAATTGTCTACATATCTGGATCAGGGACTTAATTACATAACCTTAATATGAAGTATAATTCTGATATTAAAGCACTGCACAGATGTAGCAGTCCTCACTGTGCAACACATGCTCAAAACAGTAGGAGTATTGTTTGAGTTGGGACTGCAGGATTGGCATGCCATGAATGAAAAGGGAATTTTACTTGGTAGCTTTCAACTAAATTTAGACAAATGATAGAAGGAAATAGTGTTTGGGAATCCAGTCTCCTTATCTTGGGTCCTTAAGACACTGTTGTTTTTATTTATTTATTTATTTGCTTGTTTGTTTGCAGGAGTATTTGCTGTCAGGTGCTGATATCATTGAAACGAATACTTTCAGCAGCACCAGAGTTGCACAGGCTGACTATGGACTGGAGGATTTGGTAAAAATGTTATACTACTTGTGTGCCAAGACGTTAATCAAAATTTTCTTTTTGTCCCAGCAGCTAAGGTTACCCTAGTCCCAAACTCCATCAGATTCATGTTGACTGCTAAGTGCACGCTGTGTACAGATGTACAGAACCTGGGTGTACAGATAAGGTTCTTGGGGTCTCTGCTACTCGGGAGAGAAATAGCGCAAATTATCTGTAGCCTACTTCCATTGGTGCAAAGAAGGTTGTGTGACAGCTGCGCTGTGACGGCTGTCGATAGAGGCACAGGCAATAACCATTTGTCATAGAGTTTGTTTGAACATATACAGAAGGGTCTTGTTCTGCAAACAGGAACATTCTGCTTCAGTGTTTCCAATTTCATTAGGTGCCACAGTGGAAATGTGTGGTGTCCCTGAATATTGCCTTTGTATGTTACAAGTAGGACAGAACATTATTACTGCAGTACATGGGATTCTTTTGAGCTCAAGTTTATCATGATTTTCCTTGAGGTTGCTTCATTTTTAAACTTATTTTAGCAGCTCAATAACACTTGGAAATATGTATTAAAATTAGTTGATTTCCCCCCACCCCCTTTTTAAATAAGCTAACATTTATCCTCTTTGGACCTCCCATCATTCCAGCTGATCTTCAGCTCTTTCCAGTCTTAGTGGGAGCGAAAAATGTTTAGTTTACAGAAGGAGCCCTCAGTCACTTCCCCATAAACTAGTTTTAACCAGAGATGCATGGTGGAGTGGGATTCATCTCATATAATTGCATCCCTGCAGTGCCCTTTAGAGCTTCATATAACAAAGCACTTTTCTGATGCTTAAAGTTTTCTGTAGCGCTTACATTTATTTGTCTTGCCTAGAGTATGCTTAGAATACACTACATGATTGTTTAGGGGAGGGATATTGTGGTAAGCTGCTTTGCTAATTTTCTTTGAAGAACAGCCATAATATATGGGATTGACCTTTTCTGTTTAGCGCAAAGTAACTGGCTGTCACTGTTTCAGGTTTATCGGTTAAACAGAATCTCAGCGCAGGTGGCCAGAAAAGCGGCTGATGATGTAACTGCTCTTACAGGTAAACAGCATGGGCTTTTTTCTTCTTAATTCAAATGCTTCTTTTCCATATGTTTGTCTCATTACAAGCCCTGGAACACTTGTTACCATGGGTGATGTGCTTGACTGCATCTGGGAGCAGTGATGCTCCAGGTTGTTCTCTGAGAAGCCAAAAGCAGCAGTGTGGTTTTTTTCTTTTCATTGCATGCTATCTGGATTTGTAAGATGCTACTCTAGTTCCTGTAGTAAAGGGCTGAATCAGCAAGGTGCTAATTATCACCCTCTAACACCAAACTGTCCCCTGCTTATTAGCCAGTCATTGGATTGTCTAGATAATGGTTTCCTAATTTAATCTGTAATTTTTACAGTTTCTCTCTGTCTTGCAGACAGGTATGAATAAAGTAAGTGTCACTTGGCTCTAGAATTTCTCTGTATTGGTCTGTGCTGTGCATGTAAAAGTAATTAACTGAGACTTAAAAGAAGGCACTGATGTGATGGCTCACTGTTGTGTGGTGTGTCAATACCTGAGTAGCAGCATAGGAATGCAGCCAGGCACCCAGAGCACAGGAGCAGCAGTTACTTGTGGTGCGGCCACGATTGCTATTGCAACTGCTATTGTGTGGCTGCAGGAGCAGCTGCTTTTTATGGCCCACCTACCCCACGATGGCACAAAGGTGCCGCTGGCACCCCACTTGCTATGGTACTGTGTATTAGTATGTAACGCTGCCTGTCTTACTCGGTAAAATCAAATCTGCCTACCTGTGTGGTGCTAACTATCTTCTTTCCAGTGCTAAATAAGAACCACTTTTACCTCAGAAGCAGGGGACCTATACTTTTGGAACAGGAGGCTCTGAAGTCAATCCACTATTTTGCATTGATGTTGTTTGTTACAGTGATATGATTATCTGACCAGAAATTAATCTCTTTCTTTCTTCCTTCTCCCCACACCTTCTCTTCTTTTTAGGGTGTAAGAGATATGTGGCTGGAGCTATGGGTCCTACAAACAGGACACTGTCATTGTCCCCCTCAGTGGAGAGACCAGACTATAGGAACATTAGTAAGTACTGTAACTTAGTTTTGTAACTTTCATAATAGCCCCATACAGAAGGCTCCTCCAGCTAAAGCTATTTCAAATAATGCTCATTTCATTTTACAGCTTTTGATGAGCTGGTTGAAGCTTACCAAGAACAAGCCAAAGGACTTTTGGATGGAGGAGTTGATATCTTGTTAGTGGAAACTATATTTGATACAGCCAATGCAAAGGTGAGATTTTGGAGAATACTTCTTGGGTAATTTCACAGTTTTGGGAAATGCATAGATAAAATCTAAGCAGAAGGAAGGACATTTCAGCAGAAGGAAGGACAGCAGTGGCCAGAAGGAGCTTAGCAGACATTAGTTATTAAACACACACAAAAAAACTTTTATTCTTCTGTTTGTATTATTGTCCTTGTAATATTTAATGACAGTTTGTAGATCATAACACATCATCTCAAAGAGGTTCTTCTCCATGTCTTTTATTTGCCAGTGCGGATTTTAAAACAACCAAAGCTTTCTAGATTGGGGCTGTCTATTCTTCTGGTCTGTAGGCTGGATTAGTGTCATGGAGCCAGTCCACAGGCTAGTGCATGGAACTGTATCATCTGGCCTTCAGGGCTTTCTGTGGGGCCACACATTTGTTGACAGCAGTATTTGCCTCCTAGAACCATGGCAGCTGCCACTCCTCTTGCAACGCAAAATCTGGCTCTGCAGGCAGCCCTAGGGAACAGGTGATGCAACTCCATGCTCTGAATCTAGCCAACAGGGCCTGAAATTTGGCAGTGGGAGGACAGTATTAATAGCTGTGGCTTGATGAGCTGTAGCAATTACTCCTGCTATGGCTTGTTCCACAGCAGGGAGCTGGATCTGGTCTTCAGGCTGTTCCTTTGGCACCTTGTGGAAAGCTTGTGGAAAAAGTGAAAGGGTGGTAAACTTCACTTGAAGACATTCCCCCTGCATTTTAATGTGGAATTTTGTTTAAATTTGAAAAATATAAAAGAAAAATTGATCAGCTTTCATTTGTACTAGACTGTGAGTGTAGATTCTCCAAGGTATAAATTCTATTCTTAGATACCCATCTGGCAAAAAAAGAAAGAAAATAGCAGTGGTAAGTTTGGGTAGATGGTTGCTTGTGTACCTGAGGGCAGATTGTAGGATACAAGATTCCACTCGGAATCCTGGAGGCATCAGACTGTGGAATTTGGAGAATACAAGCATTAGGATGAGAATAACTTCATAGCAGCAGCTCAGAGAATTTCCTAAAGAGCTAGGTGGTCTCATGGATGCCAGCTCTCTTCCTTATTCCAGCTGCTAAATTGCAGGGATCCGGGTTTTCTGCTCACTGTGGAAAAATGTAGATTTTTCTCCTTTAAAAGAGAAAAATGTGGGAAACAGTGGGTTTACCCATGCAGGCTGGAGGAGTTCCAGCCTGCTTTGGGTTGGGGGAACAGGACTTAGGGGGTGTCATGCATGCACACACATGCACATGGCCAGCAATATGGGGGCAGGGGAGCAGGGATAGCCAACAGCTGAACCTGTGGCATGGTGAGCAAAGAGGGCAGGGGGAGCTCTGATTTTTTTCCATGATTTTAAAAAAAAAACAAACAAAAAAACCCAAAATCAAATGCTAAAATATATATAGGTATTTAGAATTTCTTTTCTTATGATTGAGGCACTGATAGGCTTCCAAATTGCTTTAAAATTGTAAATGTATCAATAAAACATTCAACTGATACCTATATATATGTATAGTTATATATAGTTGCGTTTCACTTCAGTTGCAGAATAACAGATTTTGGGGGTTTTAATCAGAGAATTTGGTGTTTTTAAAGAGAATACCAGGATCCCTGAAGAACACAGCTCCAGATACCTTAATTGCTGCTTACGGTGGGCAAAATTCACCCTGTTCAGTTCTCATTTTGCCCAGAACATTTGCATAGGAACAGGGCAGAGTTTCAACCCATTCACCTAACATTTGTTTGGGCATCAGGCAGTCTTGCTGTTTCCTCACAAACATGTGATCAGCCAGCGTGGAAGCATGGCAAGAACCACATCCTCTTCCTGTAGTCTGAAAGGGAGTACCTGTTGCCTTTAGTCTTCCTCCCTTGGGCCATCAGTTTTCCTTAAATTCCTTCGGGTGAGCTGCTGCCACCTCTCCTTCTCAAATGCATTGTTTGCTATTAAAACTATCATGTTCTTAATAGATTCACATGCCTTGAGAATCATACCTACCACAGTGCTAAACTCTCTGAGCCCACTCAACCGGAGGTGTACAATTAGTACACGTAATACAACAGTGTTAAATGTTTGGCTCCCCTGTGTTCAGGATGTGAGTAGTGAATAATACAGCATGCAGGTCTTAGTAAGTACGTTGTGCTTTTTGAATCTGAAACAGCCTTAGACCTCCTAGTTACTCTGACATATTTCCCCCCATCTACCTGAGGTGCTGGCCTTCATGAAAGAAATTCCAGAATAATGGAGTGCAGCTTTTTACAGTAGGTTGTAGAAAAGCTATTGAGGGAAAAGAAAAAGAAGCAACAAAGAGGTTCTGTTAACTTTTTGTGATATTGTTATTTCACAGGCAGCTCTCTTTGCTGTCCGGAAACTGTTTGAAGAAGAATATAAACCCAAGCCAATATTTGTAAGCACAAGACATTTTACTTTAATTACTGAGGATTTATAACTGGTATGGGATGGAATATAGTGTTGTTTTTATTTAATGGAAAAACATGCAGTATAACACATGCAGCAAAGGCAGCTTGTCTTTTTACAACTGACTGTTTTGAGCTGCCAAACTTATCTTAATATCCTTAGGAAATGTGAAGCATTTGTCGTACAGACTGTGTTGATCCTTACAATGTGAAGCTTAATGGGCTCAATCTATTTGGTTCATTGAAGAGAAGCCTGGAATGTGGCTGTCATTTGTGTGTAGGCGCTAGCGTGGAAAAGGGATCTGATGGAGTGGTGGTGATGATGTTCTTAGACTTATTACGAGGACAAACAAGCTGCAAGTTAGACATTCAGTTAGACATGTTCTACCTTCAGTCTGCCTGCATTGTACCTTCAACCTGCTATTTCTTGGAAGTTAGGTTAATTTAAACACAGGAATAGCATACCAGTAACAATGATAAACTTCTTCTCCATTTGGAGTCATTAAGATACAATTAGATATCCTCCTAAAAGACTGCCCTTTAATCCAGCATCTGGGAGAAATTCTGTGGCCTTTGTATACAAGAGCTCAGACTGGATAATCATAGGGCATTTTTACACATGCAAGTGCTGCAGCTTTGAGAAGTGCCCAGTGCTACATTGCTTACAATTGTATAAGTGTCAACATGCATGTCAGTGCACAGAAAATGGTGGTGGTCTGCTTTTGAACTAAAACACATAGAAAGTGTGTTACTTCAAAAGTGGACCACCACCATTTTCTCCATGCTGATGCGCATTTTGCTGCTTATACAACTGCAAGCAATACAGAACTATGCGCATCTGCTTACGTGCAGAACAGACTCGATTAATTGAGTCTGCTCCAACTCAGGTGCATCTGGGCGTGAAAATGTATGCGTATAAATGCCTTAGTGCTCTGTGTTAGATTTCAAGTACGCTCTGACTAAGTATTATTTTTCTTTACACAACTCTTCGTGAGTCTGTAGACTGCACAGATGGCAGGCAGGGAGAGAGCCAGATTCCAGAGCCAAGGAGTATATAGTCCAAGCCCCCTTATTTTTATGGCTTAAATGAGGTTCTGTTTGGTCCTAAGGATCTATTCATGCAAAGTGCTTTGCAAACCTGGGGCTTACAATAATACTTAAGGCAGAGGGTGTGGGAGACTTATTGTTAGGATGCTTGGCTGATAACCACAGCCAAGTGTTGTTGCGTTTGTTGAGCTGTTTGGTCATAGCTTTATCTCCATTAGAGGATGCATAGGGGGAAGTGTTGGGGGCTGTGACGGAGAGAAGCTTAGCTTGCCTCTGGTTTTGAGTAGAGTGCTATTCAATTTTTTTTGTTTGCTTTTGAGTGCACCGTTTTTTTGACATGCTTTAATTTTTAATTCTGTTTCTTCCCCTCTCCCTTCCTCTTCTCTTGGTATTTAGGTTTCTGGAACCATTATAGATAAGAGTGGACGCACACTCTCTGGCCAGACAGGAGAGGCATTTGTCATTAGCATATCCCACTGTGAGCCACTTTGGTAAGTCAATACTTTCTGGAGTCCATAAGGTTATATAGAAATGGTATGTTTTTTTTTTTTTTTGTTTTTTTTTTTAAGTCTATTTCTACAGTAGGTTGAGAACAATATTACCTGCAGCCATTGTTAATTCTGAACATTGTTAGCATGTTTTAGCTTGGTTTCCCTACCTAGCAGAGACAGGAATTACTTTTCCTGTCTGTAGTAGTGCATTCTGTTACCATATATAGTTTCAACTAACTTGATTTTCATCATGATTAATTTGATTGGTAGAGACAAGGCCAGACTGCATTTTTTTTTTTTTTTTTTTTTTTTTTTTTTAAACAATTTTCATGAAATTATGCTTGGATCTGAAACGCAGACTTTCAGATTCATGGAGACTTAAGACCTGGAGTAAATGGGGACTAAATGGTTTTGGCTGAAAAAAAGAATAGTAGAGTATTATGATTTGGAAAACGTAATTGGGTGACTGGTTTTGTGGGTGGGGCAGAGCAGGGGATGTGAAATACTTTGACCTCAGTAAAGGCCTGTGTGGTCTCTCACAATGTTCTCCTAGGTAAGCTAAGACAATCCAGTCTAGATCATGGCTGTCTAGCTGGTGGCTTGCAGGCTGCTTGCAGCCATCGAGCACTTAAGCTGCAGCCCATGGGCCCTGGTGGCTGCCTCTCCCACTATCACATGGTGGGGGAGGGCCCAGGGGGCCAGGTACTGCCTGTGCAGCAGGAGGTGAGGGGGAGCCGTATGCCACTGGCAGAACCTGCAATACACGCTGTGGGGAAGGTGCCATATACTGCTGTTACAGACTGTGCAGTTGTGAGGATCCTGGAGGGCAGTTGCATGTGGCACCCGACCACCCTGAAGTTGGACAGCTCTGGTTTAGATGAAAGTACTGTAAGGTAGGTGCATAGCTGGTTGGATTATCTTTCTTAGAGAGTAAATGGTGTGATTTCTAAGTGAGGAGAGGGATTAAGTGGGGTTTGTGCAGGGGTCTGTTGTAGGTCTGGTACTCCTTAATACCGAAGAACCTGAATACTTCGGGGGTTTAGGGTTCCTGATCCCCCTGCAAAAATGAGGCTATGAAGTAACAGGGGGATACAGAGCCACAGCAAATGCGTGTCAAGGCCCCTTAAGTGCTCTAGGTGTCTGCTGCTGCTTTTATTTCAAAGGGCACCACTTCTCCAATCATCCATGTGGGGCTGTTGATGAGCTCAGGCTGAATGGAAAAGCAGCACCCTTTGAAGTAAAAGCTGCAGAAAGCAGTGGAGTAGGTCCTCCTTAATTTGGCACCTTTTGCCTAGTAAGCAGGGTAAGCCAAGTAACCATCCAGATACAGTAAAACCACAAGTATTTGTATCTTTTTAATGACTTGGAAGATGGAATTGAGTACACATTTAGTACATTTGCAGATGATGCTATGCTGGGTGCAGTAGCAGATGCTTTGGAGAACAGAATTAGGATTCAAAACTACTTCATGTTGCTTCAAAATACTTGGAAAAGTGGCCTGAATAAATTGTGTGAAATTCAGGAAAAGACAAGTTCAAAGCTCTGCACTTAGGACAGCACAGTCATGTAATACATATTGGGGGACATCTGGCTAGGATGTAGTACTAGAAGAAAAGGACCTGAGGCTTATGTTGGAGCTCAAGCTGAACGAGTGGTTGGTGTGTTTTATTGTTGAACCCCCGCCCACAAAAAAGCCAATGGTAGGGGTACGTTGACAGGAATATCGTGCAAGTCACAGGACATGATTCTTTCATGCTATTCAGCACTGATGGCACTTCATCTGCCCAGTTTGGGTGACCACCTTTCAAGAAAGGAGTGGACAAAATGGAAAATGTCTAGTAGAGTGGCAAAAAATTAATTAGAGGCATAGGAAAGATGCTAAGGAAAAATTGAAAGAATTGGGATTATTTAATTTAGAGAACATTGAGGGGGAGAGTTTGTTAACAGTCTTGAAACACTTGAAGCGTTGTTGTAAAGAGGTTGATTTATGATCTGTCCCCTAGGTACACAGAGTACATGGAGAGATGGTGGAATCACCATGATTGGAAGTTTTCAAGAGCAGGTTAGACATACATTTATGTAGGATGGCTCAAACAGGGAAGTTCCTTCCTTGAACAGGCAGCTGAATTAGATGGCTTTTTGTAGTTGTTTAAGCCAGAGGCATAGCATGAAAAAATGCACCATGAGCAGTCTTCTCTCATCCTCCCCCATCTCCTCTCGTACCTTCTGACTTGTAGATGTAGGAACAGGAGCCAGCAGCTGATGCAAGATGTTCAGGGACTTATTCTTTAAAAAGGCAGTGGAATTTGCTGCTACTGGCAAGAGGGGGAACTTCTTTCTTTTTTGCTTCCGAAGCACATGTCCAGAAAACAAAAACGTGCTGGTTTGTTTGTTGGTTTTTTTTTTTTTTGTGGCAGCAAAAAACGGGATCAATTCATTCCCCAGCATCAGTGAATTCCACTGCTGTTCTGCAGAACTACAGTTCCCTGAATGTCCTGAACTCTTAGACATTGCCTGTGCCAACTGCTTCTTGAAGCCCAAAAGTGCAGACAGAGCAAGGTAGACAGTAACCCTAGGGTGAGGCAACCTTTCTTTGTCCTGGTTCCTTTCTCCTTAGGTTGTATCTAGGGCATGTGCCTGGCTGCCCACCCCATGTTACGTCATTTGGTTTTAGCCCTATTTTTTGTGATTTTGGTTTCAGTTCAAAGGGGTACTGAAAAGTACTTTGAGAGGTGACCCTTACAGCTGATAATTGAATAGACACACATTCTTAACCTGTTCAGGTATAGATGTTGGAGGGTTTTTAATGAAAAATTATGTTGAAAACAAACATTGGCAAATTTGATGGCAGTATAATATGTAAAACCCTGAATGAATCTTGCTTTCTCCTCTTTGTTTTTTTTATCTCCCTTCCCCCCACTTTTTCCAGTATCTTTTTCTACTGATTTCTCTGCCAAGATTCTCATTATACAAAGATTTACACCAAAGGAAAGCAGTTACTATTACCTGTCTGTTTTTCCTACTGTTTTAAATAAGTAGTTAGCTATTAGACACATACACAGCATACGTTATGGGAAGATAGCTTTGTTTTTCAGCAAAATCCCTTTTAAAACTAGCAAGTTACCCTTGCAGTGAGGCAGAAGCATGAGATTTCACTTGCATAGAACTCGGCTTGTCTGACTGCCCTTGAGACTATACTTTCCCAGGCCAGACTGTACTGCAGAAGTAACATACGGAGCCTATTGAAACAGTGTTAGTTGACTTGTGTACATAGCATCCCAACCTAGAGAGCCATACTTTCTATAGATTGTAGTCCTAGATTAGTCTGCACAGGACATTCATTTATCTATAAAGAGGATAGAGGGGGCAGTGAAGCAGAAATTCAGAATGTATTAAACAGTATTCCATTTAAAAAAAAACCTGTCGTGTGTGTGCAGCTTTCTGTGTCTGATCTCATTGCCAAGGCTACTTCACTCTGCTGTCACAATTCTTGGTTTAATCTTTAAATAAGTCTGAGTTCGGCCCTTATCTAGGGATCTTACAAACCTTCCCGCTGTGGACTGTCAACTTGATTGCAACCAGCTGAGGAACTTCTCACTAACAGTTCTTAGCTTTGAATTTCTAGGATGGGTGGGACTATGTACTCCTTGTGCATGAGATTAGCCTTTCCCCTGCATTTATTTGAGCCCTGCTGCTGTTGTCATCAGGATCTTCAGGGGCCAACTTTTTTGGCAGGCATGTCACAAACTAGTTGTATACCCTCCTTAAGTGCCACTCTGATCCTGTTCACTTGCTGCTCTGCTTTCTACTGCCTGCCCTTGCTCTTTGGCCAATCTGCTGCTCTGTTTTCTGCTCCGTCTTTTACTGTGCTGCCTATCTCCCCCCTGGTCTGCTGTGTGCCACATGCAGAAGCTGCCCGTGCCACTTATGTGGCGCAGGTTGGCCACTCTTGACTTATTTTGTGATTAGCACCTAGAACCCTTGCTGAGTTAGAGGACAGGGGCAGGAGGAAGGGGATTTAAGTTCCGTTATGCTTTCTGCTTTACACACTACTTTGTGCCAAAGAGCTCTTATAGTCTTGGCATGTGATGGATGACAATTGCTACACCAAGTACTTTGGCTTAGAGAATTGGGGCACAAAGTTTAGGGTACGGTCATGCTTATTACCCACCTAATGCAAGGCTGCTTGTTTTAAGAGTGTACAGTAAAAAGCTCTTTTTTTTTTTCCCCTCAAATGTTAGTTTTTGTTTGCTGTGATGGTACTGAATTTATTTGAAGGTGACATTGACCAGGAAACACAGCATTCAGCTTTTGAATTGAGCTTCCAGTTTTTGATGAGCATATTTGCAAAACCTAAATTGTGCCAGCCTTGCAGGTCTGTTCATCACCTTGTCTTGTGACAGTATATCCCTCAAGTAATCTGAATAAATGGTTTTAGGTATCCAGTATATGGTGAGCCCAGTGAGCGTCGAAACATTCTTATTCACTGATTATACCACTTGGATATAGCATATCTTGCTGCCACTGCGGGTCAGGGGTCGACAGATGAGTCTGTTGAGAGAGACAGAGACAAATGGAGCTGAGATGAGGCAGAGAGAAATACAGCCATTTAAAGCAAAAAGAGAAAATTTAAAAAAAGGTATAAAATGGAAGTTTATAAATCAAACATGCAATATGACATATTATATTGCATTTATCTACATTTCATATAAATGGTCATATCACCTGTTTTGTTGCAATAATCTTGAATGATGAGTTTACACTTATGAAAATAAATGCGATATCTTTGTCTCTGTGCAGTACATACTTGAGGTGAATGGTAAGTGTGTGTCAGGTGTAATTGTAAATGTTTTATATAAGCATAGTCCTTTGTAAACATGAAATTGAGGCTAAAATGCCTGTTTTAAAAGTTCTACGTCAACTACTTTGGAAATGCTGTAAAGTTACAGACTCTATCTTAAGACCATCACCCTCATGCTAGGTACAGATGTTTGGGGAGGTTAGATTGCATTAAAAAAGGCCACCCAATCTAACTTAGTTTATCCAGGTGCAGATCATACACTTGCATTAACCTAACTAGGGAGCTAAATGCAAACTCCGTGTAAGTTCAGGCAGTTTAGATGGGTCTCAAAATGGGTAACCTGACCTCCAAGTCGGTCTAATTTAGAATGGGTCAGGTGAGATGGATCTAACAGAACTTCTATATAGTTCCCAGCACAGCCCTGGGGGTGGGAAAGCCCAGTTGCTGGACCCAGCCCTGGGGCTGTACTCCTCTTTTTCTTTTTAACCCACCCCATGGTGCTGGGCTACTTTTAGGCCCCTTGCCTCTCCCCCAGACAGCCCCCCACCTCTCCTGTAGATGAGTCAGGCCCTGAGCCCTCCCAAACCCCATCCTGTAGGCCACTCCCACTGCCAGTTTTACCAGTGTTTTTGCTAGTGCTGGGAGCAGATTTGAAGTAAATTGGGGTGGGAAGGGTAGGTTTGCAGGGGGAAGTGGGAGTGTTCATCTGGAGGTGGGCAGTGGCAGAGGGCTAAAAATAGCCCCTGGGCCACAGGAGCCCCATTCCTTCAAGCTGTCCTGCAGACCCCACTAGCCTCCTGATCCTGCCAAACCTTCTTGGACCCTGCTAGCCCCTCCCCTGATCCTACCAAACTTTCCTGATTCCCACCAACCTCCCTCCCTCATGGACCTTGCTTGCTGCCCCCC